CCTAAATCATAGCGACCGTAAAGTGCGCCTATAAACCATTAAAAGCGACTGCGATTGAACAACTGTTGCTAAATATAAGTTCGCATTAAGTCGGCCAGATGAAGTTAATTCTCACTCGTTAAAGACCAATAAAGTATGGGTAAGTACACAACAATTGGCCGATAGTGGGTTCATCACCAGCCATATCTGTCTTAATACTGTCGCTGCACTGGGAGAAAGACCAGTTTAAAATAACACTGTAACCAGTGTTATTTTGTTGTTCATTTCCGTCTTCTAGAACAGACCAGCGGCCAGGGAGTCCAGGGACCCATTCTTTTCGCAAGTTCACCTTCCTTTCGTTAAGCATAAAACGTTGTTGTGAGTCTAAAGTAGGTTACGAACGCTCTGATGTCAGCATTAAATGCAACAAGACATTTGGCTGCCCCTTCCGGATGGTCGGCATTTCAAACAGAGCACTACTGTAGTTCACGGAGAAATTAAAGGATTAAAAAGGTTTACGAGAAAAATTTGGCTAGCTTGATATTAAAAGGCCAACTAACACTGCTAATACACCATAACTGGGAAAGTTTAATTAGTAGCTGCTATCACTGCACTTGGCAGCCACAGCACTAAGCAAACTTCCTTGTATCCGGCATAATGCCCCATCCGTCAGTATAGGCCTTCACACCAGCGCCACATGGGCACGCATTTGGCATAGAGATTACGTCATGTCAGTCCCTGATCCAATCTTATTCGCGTTCGGCTGGACTCGAACGACATACTGATGGATAGGAGAAGAAAAAAAAGATCGAACTAGCCCAGAGCAGTGCTTAATTCCTCAGCACAAGTAACCAAACGTGCCTTAAAACTATCACAGCAGGCGAACAGGTTGTGGCCTGGGAAGTTATCAAATGATGATATGTGTCGGTCCTACGCAGGACTGAGAATTATGCCGCGTTTGGTTCATGCGAGCGCCGACATCCGCCAAATAGTGCCAATAATGTAGAAATTTGCGGTCCAAGTCTTGCGTGTGGCACGCGTAGACGGTCCGTCTGCATATGTCAGCTACTGAGACCAGCCCAAGTTATAACTTCGTCTAGTCATCGAAGCGCAGTGGATGGGGAGAGAGAATGCGCGAGGCTGGTATGACGAAATTCCGCTTCATTATGGGTCAATTCGCGCACAAGCCGCAACCCCGCCCATCTCGTAGGAGACTTCGCCGCTTGCGACGGTCAAACTACCCGTCACACGCATCACTCCGCTTTTACGGATGGGTGTAGGAAAAGCCTAAAGCTTACTCCCTTAACTTTTACCGCGGACAGGCGTTACTTGTACTCATATTTATGAGAACACTCACTATTATTGATTTTCCGATGCCGTTGCGCATTCAGGGAATCAAAAATGCCCGCCAGCAGAATGCCGCGGGAAGTTCAGTCAGTTGGCATGCCAACTAGACAGTTCGCAAGAATATGTATGTTTTCGAAATTAGCTTTCATTCTGATCCTTCATGTCTTCGGTTGGTCATCTCGAGGACGGACTCAAATATTTACAGGTACGTCTTAGGCGAACACAGATCCATCCACGCTGTCTTTTTCAAGGGGCGACTCTTCGTCCGTACTGTCAGTAACTCGGTCTGCGGTGCGAGTCATGCCAGAGACGGAATCTCAGGAGTAATTGTGAAAATTACTGTCGTTAGAAAATCCAGCTTTCCTTGTGATACTCGCATTTTAAGCTTACTGGGTCCGGCTTTCCGAGACAGTCAAATACTACTCAAGTAAATCATTAACTTAAGAATCCTGGGGCAACTATTAAATTTCCTGACATTCTTTTTTCCCTTCTAATGGCACCAAGGGTTATGGGATTTGTAGATAGTGATAGGTCAACAACGAGTTAAGCCCATGCAACTGGATCGCAGATGGCAGTCGAATATGCGCCCTGTTCAACCGAGTGCGGTTTGTAGACGAAGAAACAGTAACCATATTGAGCATCGTCCAGCACCCTCCGTGAAGTCAAGCATCGATTCTGCCAATGTGGTCAGCAACACCAAGGCCCAAGTGTTGCGCGCATCGCCTGAATCCACCCCTGCGCAGAAGTATCCATGCTCCCTGATGTGACTAGTGGGTGAGTAGCCAACAGCGATCTATCAGGGAAGGGGAAATGTCACAGTACAGTCACTTTTTGAGAGTATACAGCCATCCCACTAACTATTTGGTTTCCCAAGGCCATCATCAGATATAAGTTTTATATTGTTCACGTAACGATCCTTCACGGCTCGTAGGTGTCTTTTACCAAAAGCCGGTGGTGGTATTTGAAAAATCAACCGGAAAGATGATTTTTTTGCCCCACCGCCAGTGAACCAAGGAGGCTGTCGAAACATACAAAGAGCATATTCAGGGAGTGATGCGGCCCATGATGGATGAATAGAACAAATCAGGAACAGCATACACGTGGTAGTCAGCTAGAAGGGGCACTACAGGTAGTCGGGACGGGTCACAACTCTGGGTTGGTAAGCTAGCAAAGTGTGACACGGACGCAACATTGGCGAAACTATGTGTGAAAAAAGGAATAACCACTCCAAGTACGCGGTTGACTACCTCCACGTCAAGTATTTGTGCTCCCCAAAACATTTTTTCGTGCCGGGTGTTGTTTAGAGCACCTCCTGCCAGTTGCTTCCAGTGCCCAAAGGGCCTCCTCTTCAGAGTGAACCTGATTACTAGATGATTTTTGTGGCAATTGGATTAGGTTGAGCAGGGCTTGAGGCTCGTCGACCTCTGGCACTTTTTGTATGCTCATGTTTACATAGCATTCGTTCCGTCCCTGGTGGTTTACACACATGCACGTCTCTCGCCTGACACGAATCGTGTTTTACTCGAACAGTAATCTGGTAAATGATGATCTGGCCTAACGGTGTTAACTATTTTTGCAAGCTCCAGATGGTGTGATGTCAATTTTGATGGAGAACAAGGGTCGGCAATGTATTGCGTCAGTCGCTCGATCGGTCACGGTGTCTGATCTTGTCGTACGTCTCTCAGAGTCCGTTGCACAAGTGACACTCGATGTCAACGGAGGGCGGTATGGGTGACGCCAAGTGACGCGTCCTCATTATTATCTATTCGAAGCCTGTCCGGACTATGATCTAGAATGGGTTTCAGAGGGGACGATGGACGGGTTGCGGCAGTAGGGTATGAAAAGTGACCCATAAAGCGGCTATGTGAATTCGCCAGTTACAAGCTAAGATGAACAGCACAGATCCCTGAGAGGCGACGGCAAGTTGCGCGTGAATTCTGCTACAGTGAGGGAGGCTTGTGTAGCAGCGAGCTCACTCACCCACTCAGTCGACCTCTCTCTCCCCCATCGGGTTCCGTGTGCCTGTCTGTGTAGGTCTGACGAAAAAATGCAGCCCATTTTGGGCCTGGTTGAAGTAACCACAAGAAAGTAAATTCAGATGTCCCTACTGTATCCAGCGGGGCTGGATAGAGGGATCAGTCTTTACCTCCGACAACCGTAGGAAACCATCTCTAGGTCAAACCGTTTCATGCAACCGATGCCCAGCAAACCAGCTTAACATGGTGCTGGCCTAACAGACAGCTATGGCTCGCTCGTTGCGACTGGTCTTGCTAGGGTCCAATGACAATGAGAAGATAAAGGCTAGAAAATCAAAGCGGTGAGTGACCTGTCGAAAATCAGTATTTACTGCAATTCAGTCGACTAGACGCAGCAGTCGTGGACGAACCTTAAAATCCGCTGGTCTTACGGTCGATGCCAAAAGCTACACTCCCCGAAACACGGTGGGCGAGTAATGACAGTCTCACTCAAAGGGCTTTCATACATAGAACAGAACACTCACCTGAATTGCGAGTTGTAACATGGCATCCGGACTGAGACCAGCCCGCTTACATTTGCTCTTGTGAAGAATTCCAGTCGTTTGCAGGATGTTTATTTGTAGATCGGCGCGGCGGGTTTCATAGTCCTGCCAGGCTGGAAGGATTAGACCCTCAAAAAGCAGATCGTCCACAAGCCACTCGAGTCTCTGCACGCTGGCAGCTGGCAGGCTGGAAGAGTACAAAAGAATAGGGGGCGCATCTTACACGGTATTCTTGTACTTTTAAATAGACTTTCTGACCACGTCAATGGCCTACGCGTAACTGCTCAGATAGGCAAGAAACGCACACCAGCTGGCAGCTGTGTAGGCCATATATCCACATATACTTAGCCGCCGAATTTGCTTGCCAATTCTCATTAAGTTATTCAGGTGGACCACATGGCAGCCAGGACTGCTAGAAAATGAAATTGCAGTGGCATAAGGCGTGACTTCAATCAGTCTAAGTGCTAATGACCCCTGTAACTGTTAACTTTTCAGGTGTTGCTGCCTATCCTGAGGATGGGCTTCAATATAAGTTCAAAAGCTCAGAAAAATAAACAAAGCGGTTCCGCTGCTCGATTAGTTTCCCTCTCTACTCGTCCATCAATATTTCAGGAAGTACAGTAACTGCATTTTTACGCGTTCCACCCCCATAATGCGATTGCGTTGTTGCGGCCAACAAAAACTGACGAAGCATATGCCTACTATTTTCGAAAGCAGTTTTCGAAGGTGACTGAAAAAATGGCTCAAACAGAAGTCACCATCCTGACTTGCATGAGGCGTCCTTTAAGGTATTTTTACGTGCCATTAATGCAACCTCAATCAAGTAAACCTCTCTTCCCGAAATTGCAGTTTTAAAATTCAGTCATGTATTAAGTCTTTTCCCAACCATTGTACTTTAATCGAAAATCATAGAGATAAAGCTTCCACAGTTAACCCAGTTTAACAAGCGGGTATGAAATACGTGAGGATTTCAACAGCATTATTATTTCAACACAACTATTGTTAAAAGACATTTTATTAATCCAATACAATAACTATCCCGCTCTCACCGAAGACGGGGTGAATCGAAGGCTGTGCATGCATCGAGCCTCATAAAATACCTACCGATAACTTTGGGCGTGCCCTAAAACTAAAGAAAATCGTTTAATGAGGTTAATAAATCGACTAGTTAAGAAAGTATTCCGCGTTAGCCCATCAACCGTTGTCTATTGGCTTTTGATTGAACATCTGCCTATTCATCTGTGTCATAATAGATGGGACAAAAGCAGTTATCCAGTTGCTGTTCATTTTTTCACTTCTGCTCGATATTAATACCATTGCAGTTGAGTTTCTTTGACAACTATCTAAAATTCATATTGACCCAACTGTGAGAAACTCGGCGCCTCGGTGGTATTCGAACCCACACAGTAAGGAGAAGGCTTTAGTACAGCCAACGCTCTAACCACATGAGGCGCGATGGCTCCGCTATCAGTTAATGTGGAATTGTCACCCGAGGGCATCCGTAAGTTGATGTTTACATGGGTCATCATAGAAATGCCACTGAGGATATGGAGTTGTCCACCGCACATTAAGGGCTTTCAGAGGCGACCGAGTGCACTGTTGTGGGACTGGGTGTTGAAATTGCACAGCATCCCGAAACCATCGTGCGCAATAGAGGCATGGAAATTAAAAAACCACAAAACCGCAGAGAGCAGTGTATTTTATCTCGTGCATAAATAGTGGTTTTAATTACACGGATTAGGCTGGGCACGCTCGGATTGTGCATATAGGAGCATAAGTCAGCGATACGACGGGACGACGAAGTGTCATAAGTGGCTGCCCACTCCTTCGAAACTGGTCATGGGTTAAAGTTCCTAGCTGCCGAGACAATTGCCCATGCGAGAATTAGGACAAACCAAGAGTTGATTGAGGTCTGAGTTAGCGTACACAGCCCCAAACCTGCAACACCGACCGTCGATTGGCTTATGATTCCTGTAAACGCCACTTGTTCTGTTGCTGCTGTCATCGCTAAAGATGAACTCCTGTAGGAGTCCAAAAGCTCAAAAAATAAAGAAATGGTTCCGGCACACGACCAGTCGCCTTCCTTCCTACTCGCACATAAACCTCCGTGCGAGAAAGCTTTTCGTCTTTATAAAGTAAAGAAATTACTGCTGGGAATAAGTGGGTCCCAAAGGTGTTCTGACGCCGGAGCTTGCGATGGTCCACTGCTGATGAGTTAGAGTGGTCCAAACCTGCACTCATACATAAATCTGCCCGAAACTAGAATCACCTTCCATATTACTTAATTCCTGACACACGAATCTCCACTTCCACTGATGGTCAAGAAGTATTCCCGAGAAATACAAGAGAGAGAGGGGGGAGGGAGAGAGAGAGAGAGAGAGAGATAGTAGAATGGGCACGTTAGGCTTACTTCCCATGGCAAACCGGTCATACTTAACTCAATCTCAAAAGTTAAATTAACGCTCCACCGATGGAGTCACGGGGGGTTAACGCTCTGTTAGTCGCGATCGAGTTTACTGCATCAAGTGGGAGTGGCCGTTACCGAGTCCAAGTACTTTCAATTAGAGTCCTTTTATTTAACCAGTGGAAAATACTACTGCACAAAAACAGAAACATGTTTCGACGGATAGATGTTTGCGCTAAGTTGATCGTGTAGAGTTAAAAGAGTCAAAACCAGAAGTGAAGAAAGCTGTGGAATTAACATGGTGAACGATCAGGTATAATAGTGAAAGAGAAGGCACTGAAATCCAAAGGTCAGTTGGTAAAAACATCTAAACAACTCGGGCTTGTCATTAGCGGACTCTTGGCTCATTGCTGTATTCCAAGCCGGTTATCAAAACAGATTAACTAAAAGGGAGGAATTAATAATTAACCTGAATCCTTGGCCGTACAGACATGACTAAGATCCCCCCAAAAGCCAAACATGCTAATTTGTTTTGCAGAAGGCACGCACTGTCCCCGTAAATTATTTAAAGACGGGACAGACGAAGAGGTCAGATTTGTGCTGCGTCGTAAAGTCAGGTAGATTGCACAAAACTTACTTGTCAGGACTGCAGAGGACGTCTGGATGCACTGCCGGCCTTGACTCTGTGTCTTTGAAGATCTCGTTGAAAAAACGAAGCACAGCTATGCCGTCGCCCCAACTGTGTTCGAAGTTTATGCCAGCAGTGCCGCTC